TTTTGAATAGTAAGAGTTCACACGCCAGTCTATCCGACTTTCTTGCCAGGACAGCAGAATGTCCGAAAAGTCGTCTGATTGCGGTGGGCGCTGAACAAGGACGGTGAGCACTGTTTATCTCACATGTGCGTTTGTAACGAAGTCGACTAACTGCGCGCTATCTGGTGGCTAAAGAGTTTCTGCAGGAAACAACGGAGAGGCATTCGATCAAATGTCTTGTTGAGATCATGGAATTTATCTCTATCATTCAACGCCTCTGTTCCTTTCTTCCTTGCGAAAAGTAGGTGTGAGTCGCACGCGTATTTCTGCGGTGACCAAAGGTCACGAGCTTGCAAGTAATGCTCGACTGCATTTGAGAGGCGTTCGTCCAAACTTCCTAAAATTTGAGGCCAGACTAACTTATCGGCTATTGTTTTGTCCACGTTCCTTTTCTTCAGTAAACTTAAACTTCATAAACAGCAACGTTGGTGCCAAAACAGTAGAGTTTCGTCGTGAAAGTAAATCGAATAGCACAAAAAACGGATATGAGTTGACTTAATCTTACAAAGTAAATTTTAAAAAATACAACAAGCCTTCCACACTCTCACTAAACGAGAGGCTGGCTGTGCTTAACGAGCTGAGTTTTGTTTCATATCTAACAAATTCTCCAACAACGCTTTAGATTCGCCCTCGAAAAGCAAGTCGAACTCGCGGGGCGTTATTAATCAGCTTTTACTGACGAATGAACTCTCCGTTTATAACTATACATGCGTCCAGAATGGTGCGGCGAAAGCCATCGATTCCCCGGAGAATACGTATTCCCTTTCAATGAAAAGTCAAGAAACTCATCCTGTAGAAACCTGAGATTTACTGACTACCTATATCGGTGGATACTGGGCATTGAAATCTAAAAACGCGTATGTCACCAGAAACGTTGAAATAGTTGATTGATGGATAAGGCATTAATTTTCTCGAAGATACAACACAGGCTGTGACATGAAGAAACGATATTTTCTCTGCCTGAAATATCACTAAACAGATGTTACCGCGAAGTGACGGGGGAAGGGGGATGGTGATGACAACAGGCAGTAGCCAACGGTTGAAATAAATCGATAGGCAAACAGCTTCCGTTATTCTACGGGTCATTTAAGTTACCAAGTGTACACTGTATTGTAATAACTGCGGCAAATTTGTTTACCTTTAAGGTTGTTTATTATCCTGGTTGCGGCGTACTGTCATGTCCAGCAAAACGTACGAAGTAGAAAGAGGAAACAAGTGCACTGCGAAATTAGCACATTCATTGTGTACTGATCTCCTTTCCTTTCGAAATTACGGCTTTCCCTCACAGCAATAAAATTAAATTTTTCCGGATGGAATCATCAGCTTCTTACAGATTCTCACCCTTCAGGTCGTGACACGTGATTTTTGGTGTAATAAAAGGGGGAACCGGCGCATCCTGTTTTATTCTTGAGGGCTCCAATCCCCCGAACATGTTTTTGGAAAGAGCTTCCACACTACACTTCTACAGTAAATTATGTGCAGCGCGCCATCTTGTGGGTCGGCGTGAGCAGATATACGCACTGTTAGTGGGCTCTAATAAGGGCGCAACTTGAGTGCAGTGTGCCCCATTTAGAGCGGACCAACTGAAATCATCCCACCAAGACAGAAATGGTCGGACCATAGTAAGCTGACAAAAAATCTATCACCTCCGTCATTTCTCACAAGCAGCTAGCTGTCTTCAGTGGGCGTACGTGCGCTTGACCCAAAATTTATTTGGGATTATTTGTATGTGACCGTATGCAGATTGTGCCTTGTCTGGGGTTCCTGGTACTTTACTTCATCTTTATTAGAAAACTCCACCTAGAGAACACGTGAAAAGGCAAATTACTTGTTTCAAATTATCTCGCAAATTTACTTATTTTCTGGGTGACTTTAGAGTAAGAGACAGAACCATGTTTGTAGTTAACAGTCTCACGTACGACATTACTGCCTTTGGACTCGCTGAACTGATCGAGTTCCAGTGATCCAAAGTAGACGAAGGGACGAGAAACGTTCGTCACTGAGTGCCTCAACATAACTCACGTCATATTGTCAACCTTCGCTGCAACAGGTTTTTGGATCCCCTGTGTTGCTCGTCTTGCTTCGAAAAACCGAGGACGTCTTATTAGCACAGGGGGGACACTTACTGATGGATTTCCGGCGTATATGATGCTATCGGTTGTCAGAAACGACAAGTTGTCCAGTAAATGTGTCGGCGAGCAGTGAAATTGAGGCGCATGGAGATGGCGGTTCATGCATGTAAATGCCCTCATCCAGAACTGCAGGAATTGTGCACGAATTCTCCGTTCGCGTCTGTCAAAGAAATACCCAGGTTGTTGGAAGCCTGCATCCACAGTATGCTGGACGTGTAGTAAAAACGTCCGTCCGCTCAGAACTTACAGATGAGTACCGCTGGTTGGAACTATCGCAGAAGGGAGGTCCTTCATTGTGAACAATTAATGGAGCTGACGCAGACGCTACAGTTTAGGACTGTGTCGCCACTCGATGACCGCCCTGGAGTAACAGTAGTTTGAAGGCGCCTCAATGCTATCCTTTGATGCATATCAGTTATGACGGTCCGTCGATGTGAAAAGTGTGCTAACTAGTGATGGCCGATATTCGTCCTGGTCTGTACAACGATGGTCAAAGGGCAAGCACTAGCCCGGCTGTATGCCAGCATTCCAGAATGTCCAGACGAGTCATTCCCAAGTGGAAATATGACATGTATGCACATCGAATACAATAAATCACAAACAAGCACAATTAACGTAACACAACGCGTACAGATACCTGCGGTCACAGTGAAAATACTTGGCGATCTGACAATCTAAATCAGAGCCTTATGGCCACCTTAAGATAGGACCGTGGGGGCGGCCGTGAGGAGAACCGAACAAATGATACTGCGTATGAAAAAGGTTGTCTGGCGATCCATATCATCCAATAAACGTACCCTAGACACGTCTAGCTAGTACTGACAACTATTCAGCTTGTGGTTTGTGCAAACATGGTTAAAGTGAGCAGCTTCTAGAACGGATCCTAGCTTCAAACCCTGGAAAACCCAGGATATCAGGGAGGATCATCGGTAGACACGGATGTAACGGTCCATCAGTTGAGCTCACTGGTGTCCGTAGATTGGGGGGTGAGTTGTTATTAGGCCGAACCTAGGGTATACCGCAAGGCATTCAGTTGTCAGCTATCTATAGAATTGGGTTGGTCCATAGTTATTGAAAGTCACTTCTAGCATCATCATGGGCTTAGCACACTGAATTACTCAACATGCATAACGGCACCCTAAAGACGTACTTGAAACACTTTGTAGGCTGTATGGGGTGAAACAGGGTAGCTCACTGATCTGAAAACGTTGCTTCAGAGCTCCTAGGTCGAAATCGCACTATTTTGTTTTTGATAGCACATAATCCGACTCTTAGAATAGAGTTTCAGTTGATCCGCACGAATTTCAGTTAGTGAATACTTCATCCTTTCATACATCAAGACATTTAGGAGTAGAACTGTAAAGGCAACATCAGAAACACTAAGAAAGTATAGTTTTTTTAATAAAACATAACAGGATACGCATGAATTGCCAAACCAGTACAACGAGATTTCAGACCAGGTGTCTGCATAACCAACTCACAAGCGTTACGCATTTTCCTAAATTAGAATCTTCCGGTTTTTAGACGTTATGGTTGATCCCACTTGACACTCGTTTATTGTATATCCCATAGGAAAACCGCTGAGAATACAATTGTTACATATTTTACCCATCCATTTTCAAAGCTTTTCAAGCAGTAATAAACTAGACTGCGTTTTGTTAGGATTTTCTTTTTGGCACCATAGCGATAATAAATTCTACTAACTATGGACTGTGAAGGTCAAATTTTCCGAATCTCACCCACAGTTTAACCTATGTTGCACTTTAACGTTCATTTTATCATGAGTTGACAACATGATCATTAATTCCTATGTATGGAATTTGCAAGCTATTTGGAGCATTCAGGCAGAGGGAAATAACTTTTCATATCTCGGCTTGCTGTCGTCTCCCAGCTAGTTCTTCCTTGATGACTTACAAAGCGTGTCAGTTATAAAGTGTTCTCCCGTCATTTGCCTCGAACTAATCCGCGGTAAAAAGAGGGGTTACTGAATATAAGTTCCGCAATTATGAAGCTCGTCAGCCAGGTCTAACGTAATTAGAGGATGAAGGAAACCCGTGACGTAAGAGAACATCTTTACATATTTGAATCCCATGCACTGGACGTTTGTAGGGTTAAACCGGCGGCTTTTGTTGAGGGATTGTTGAAAAGTTTCTTGTTGAGACACGGTTGTTTGCCCGTCTGAATAGGTAAAACTGTGCACCCAGTCACGCGCGTGTTTGGGCAAAAACTTTCAGGACGTGAGATCACCGCCAATTATAAGATATCCGTGTCGGTACTTGACGCCGCTGGTTGAAGCACATTATCATAGCACTTTTAGTCGGGCTAGCGGGTCATTAATTTTTTTGTATGGGAACGAGTTGAGGTGCAACCAGCTATTGATTATGTCATTTCCCCTACCCTTATGAGTAGAGCCATGCATGTAAAATATAATTACACGTTTACCGACACTTTAATGGCACCAGTGCATCAATGTACCTGACGACGCCTTTATTGGTTGGAAATATCTACGGGCACTGCAATGTTGAAATTGTGATTTCCCGCGTAACTTCAATTTTATTCTGAGCGTGTCACCCAAAAAGCAGGAGTCAGATAGTACAAATTGGTGACATTAACCCTCTTGCTAAACAACCTTTCTTCCTGGCTTACAATTTCAGTGCCTTCTTGTTAGAGTAAATTACAGACACTCACACTTCCGTGGCCACACGCTTTCCTTGTTTTCCAGATACCCACACGTGCATTCAGACCGTCTCACAGCAAGAGAAATAAACGTTTGGTTTTTGAATCCTTTAAAAAATTCCAAACAAATGCTTCCCCATTTTTATTGACCAGGTTTACTTTGTGGGTCGCACGACACAGAAACACAAGACGTCCAGTCCATCCGATCAGAACGGCCCAAAGCGAACTTTGCCTCAATTTCCAAATGAAAAGAAGACCAGCACCGGTAGGTAAACTGGAACATTCTATTGATTTTTTTCCATTTTCAGGTGAGGCTCTTCCTGTGTTTGATGACCATGAGAATTTCTACAATGTGATCAAACATGACCACATTGCTTATCGGTTTGAAGTGATCTCACTGCTCGGAAAAGGCAGCTTTGGACAAGTCGTCCTCGCACTCGACCATATGAAGGGTAAACAAGTTGCGCTCAAAATTATCCGGACGGAATCACGGTTTGCGAAACAGGTAGGCACAGTATGTAATTCTGGCATGATGTACAGCAAATCCCCCAGTCGCAGTCCATTTATCTTTTTGCCAGGTTTCCTGATAATAGTTTCCAATTGAAGTATTTGGGATCTTTACTTTGTTCTTCCTCTAACGTGGTTGACCCTCTTGACCCTTTTGTGGTTTTGTTTCCTTCAGAAGACTTCTTTGAAAAAAGGTATAATCACTCGTGAAAAACTAGTCACGGATTCCGAGTGCACTACTGGGTATTGTGAGAAAACACCTCTACAGCGGCTTTGACGTAACCAACATAGGCCCTCGAAAGAGCGCGGTTTTGAGAAGTGCCGTAGATCTCGGTCTAAAGTTAACATCCATTTCATCATTCTTGAGAATTATTCGAAGTGTTTGATCGGGTAACATTTGATCTATTCGACGAGCTTGGCAACCGGCTTGCAAACATTTCGTCACCACGCGGGAAGGCATCGTCAGTGCGCGGTCGGATGGGCGATTCCTCCCTTTCTGCTTGCGCTCATACAGATTCTAAACCGTAGTTAGTGTAAAACACGATTGGTTGTAGATGAATGCTCTTTGTGGTGATATCATTAAGCTCCCCTTAAAAACAGCTAGACCAGCGAGACTGACTCACTCAGAGATTTTTGAGGTGTGCACTACTGGCGATTCCGAACAAAAGTTGTGTACTTCTCATCTTTATAACACGCATTGACCTTACTTCAGGATGCAGTCCCTGTGGAAATCCAAAAACCTCACATATTACTGTAAAACTTTAAGTGAACCATTCATACAGCAAAAAACATCTCGCAAACGGTGTTAGCCTTTCACCTCAGATGTGGTCACTCCATGCGAGTTAATCACTCTGCTGATCACCTGCTGGTGGCCAAATGGTATAGTGTTCAAATACCCGGCTGGCGTGAGTTTGAAACTCTGAATTTTTGCGAGATGCACACGCTGATGATTTCCAATAAGGACACAACAACCGTAAAGTGCTTCGCGGCCTTTAAGTATAGAATAATTTCACTTACAGGATGAAGTCGTTATTACAAGTATATGAAGATTACTTGTCATGGCCCATGGGAGTTACATCTAGTTCACGGGCTCAAGCAGAAGAATTCAACTGGTGGTGATCTATCCGCGGATTTTGTACGACTCGCCTACACTACCAAAGTTCAAAACCAGCGAGTGTCTATGCGGTGAACACTAAAACCACCCTGTGCGTTGCCTCATCATACTGATCAATATTAATGTTATCTCGAATACAAAGGACTTCAAATCAAATCAATTGTAAATGTGTATAAGATCAAAGATGCCTTACGACCTTGAGCAGTAATCTGGCTAGTCATACCGATTTACTAGAAACAGTTTTCGTCCTTATCGATCAGCGTGCGACTGCACATTTGGTCGTCTGGCTAGCGGCGTCAATCGTGGCACAAATTTTAGAACCTGGCGGCTTCCGACAACACAAAACATCACTTTGTTACCTTCCCCAGCCAATGCTTTCACAACCTTGGGACGTCATACAGAGGGTCTTCAGTGTCTTGCAACCCACAGGTGATTTAGGGGAACTAAGTAGGTTTGCGTTTCGGCCTGAAACAAGTAGCTGTCTATAAAACTGATTTTCAAGTGATATCACACGTTGCACTCAAAAGAACGGAAGTTTAATTCATTCACCTTGTTAAGTTGAATACGCGAGCACCCGCTAATAATTTTTCAGAATTTAAAACCCAGTTTTCCGTTTTTTGAAAATTTTCTTTAGGCGAAAGAGGAGATTCGGATACTAGAGACCTTGCGGCAAATGCGTGAGACCAATAAGGCTGATACGGACGGCAGAGACTTTCCCATTGTCCAGCTGTTCGAACACTTCACTTTTCGCAAACACATCTGTATGACATTTGAGCTACTTAGTATCAACTTGTACGATCTACTCAAGCTGAACAAATTCACAGGCCTACCTCGTGATCGTGTGCGGCGGATTAGTTTTCAGTTGCTTAAAGCTTTGTACTATGTGGAGAAGGCCGGGATAATTCATTGTGATTTGAAACCGGAAAACGTGCTTCTTGTATGGAGCCCCGAGAAGGACGCGACCTACCGTAGTACCAATGGTCATCCATCGAACTTCACGGTACCACACGAAGGTCTACACCCCGAAGACAGAGACTGCATCAAACTGATTGACTTTGGCTCCAGTTGCTTCAAAAAAGGACCCACCTATCCCTATATCCAGTCCCGATTCTACCGCGCGCCAGAGGTTATTTTGCGGTTAGGCTATTCGCAACCAATTGATATTTGGAGTTTTGGATGCCTAGTAGCTGAACTCATCAATGGTAAGTTAGTTTGATCCAGTGTGGAACCTGTAGAGAATCATTGGCACAAAGAGCTGAAAATTTCCCCCACTTGGAGCCCCGAGAAGGACGCAACCTACCGTAGTGCCAATGGTCATCCACCGGACTTCACGGTACCACACGATGGTCTACACCCCGAAGACAGAGACTGCATCATGGAGCCCCGAGAAGGACGCGACCTACCGTAGTACCAATGGTCATCCATCGAACTTCACGGTACCACACGAAGGTCTACACCCCGAAGACAGAGACTGCATCAAACTGATTGACTTTGGCTCCAGTTGCTTCAAAAAAGGACCCACCTATCCCTATATCCAGTCCCGATTCTACCGCGCGCCAGAGGTTATTTTGCGGTTAGGCTATTCGCAACCAATTGATATTTGGAGTTTTGGATGCCTAGTAGCTGAACTCATCAATGGTAAGTTAGTTTGATCCAGTGTGGAACCTGTAGAGAATCATTGGCACAAAGAGCTGAAAATTTCCCCCACTATTTTGCCCGTTTTCAATAGGTCCAATTCAGTATGCTGAAATAGACCACGACAGATCAAACAGTTTTCCTCATCTTCCTTGGTTGTCTGAACAATAGTACCAACGACCTTGCAGGTTTGTAACTGACGGAGGCACTGTGAAAAGCAGGCAGCGAATTCCACGCCCTGTTTCAGCTGTCTGAACTGAACCTTTAAACTGTCACTGGTGTTTTAAAGGTTGAGTATCTGCTGTGAACAGGCTGATCTGAAAGACGATTAGAGGGTTATTGCTTACTCATTGCACGCGCGTGAACATGGGGAATAAGTTCCATACAACTTTGGGGAATCGTTGTATGTACGTGCTACAAATACTGGTATTTTTTACGTAAACAATGGAAATTAAAATGAAGAAATTGGCTAGTGAATCACTTGTCTAACGCGCCTGGACTATTTGGTCGATAGAACGAAGTCTGGAAGTGAAGCCGTTCTATGTTAACAAAACGATAGACACTGTACAACTGTTTTGTCCTCGCTGGAAGTTGTGAGCATTAGGCAACTCGCGAATCTTCGGGGATACTGGTGTTTTCACAGAATATTAGCTGGCCAACATAACACTTAAAGCGCTTCCACTTCTTAAAAGATTACATGCGCAACAAAAAGTCACTTACACCAGGCAACTCAGTACGGGTTCTTGTGCGCTGTGAAAATCCAGAACAGCGCGGATCGTCCAGTTGCCTTTAGGACGAACTGAAGATGACCGTGCGTTTAAGAATTGTTTTCATCTCGACACGAACGCTGATAGCTCAGATTGTGTACGTGGTAGTTGCAAACGTTTGGTCACCAACTAAGGTAGCCTCACTAGTGCGTATTGAGTTGGCGGTGCCTCGTAGTACGTCGGTGTCTAACGCTGAGCACTGCTCCGCTTGTACTTATGGTGTTTTATTGACACGAGGGAGGACCGCTGATTATGGTTGTTTGTTTGAATGTTCGGACATGTGGACGGTTGATCAGTTCACGTTGGGATGATTCTTGAGTTTGACTTCCCCCCACCCATTCCAGGTGACCTGTAATTTCTGGTTTCTACGGTCACCTGATCCGTCTGTCCGACGGTCGATTCCCGCTGAGTTGTCCGACCATGCTGGTGATCATTTGCTTTTAGTAGTAAACGTTTGGATCAACTGCTGTAACTCGGTTGGCTGCGTTTGTGGAGGAGTACCATTTTTCCAGGAACTCAAACATTGCTGGATGCCGACCAAGCCGACAAACGTGACCGATCATCCAAAAGATAACCCTTTGGGTCAACAAGATATGTATGCACAAAAACAGCACTGCACGACACCCACACACCGAAGCACTGCAACGCATTGATGTCGTCGCCTTGCTTGGTGACTGGACGTATGTAGTCAAATTATTAAACTCAGTTAACACAACAAAACCATTTTATTTCTAATTCTTCAGGTGTGTAATGTCAAAGTTAAAACACTACCAAGGAAAACCTGTCGATCGTAGTGGTGAAAAAGAATAGCTTTATGGACGAGTTGTTGACCTGGAAATTTAGCCTTTAGTTTTGCATTTCTCAACAGTGTCTTTCATCATCCATAGTACCGATCAACTCTCAGACAGACGATATCCCTGTTAAAATCGCTTTTTCCCCGCATAGGCTTCAGTAAACTGATATTGTCGCCTTCATGCGCCCCTTTATGACTGCATAACGCAGAAAGTCTCTGCGCATGGACAATCGCAGTGAACTTGGTTTTTCACTTATAAACAGATAAATGCAAACAAAACTAAACCAAAGATTGATTATCTGACCTTCTATCGGGCTTTGAAGGTCTGAATATTCCTCAGAATTTGTGAAGTATGTGTTGTTGATGACTTATTGGAGGGATACGAAATTTGCGCAGTTTTTTTGAGGCTTTTATTTTATCATAAGCACCATATCCCAAGTTATAGGGAGTTACCTGAGTTACTTAAATTTGCACTGCACTTCGTTATGAGTTTCCTTCACTATTTACAAGAGCACTGCGAATTCTTGTCAGCTTTCTCTGTCAAAAACCTTCAGCAGAGTAACAGTCCCAAAGTTCTCAACAAAATAGAAAGCACAGCGAACTCGTATCACACTGGTGGAATGCACAACAAGTCTTCATCCAATTGACCCAAATATCAGCCCAAATCGACACATATTTCACATACCCACTTATGTCATTTATCGTGGCTCGTTCACTCAGTTAAGAGAACCGGCTGACAATATCAACATTCCTGTATGGAGTATACTTAAAACCATTTAGGATAGTGGCGCAATATGAATCGGTCCTCAAGAAACCAACTAGTCATCAACATTAGCACTGTTAGTATCTCGTAACGGGTCAGATATACATAGATTGGTTTCCATGTTGATAGGGAACCGAGAGAAGAATGAGTGATCAGTCAACATTTATCGAATCTATCGTGGTTAACGCTTGATATGCCTATGCATCAACTACCCACAACCGGCCTCAGTTGCCTTATTACACCGCCGAGCGTATCGTGCCTCAATGCGAGTCAAGTTGTCTCTATTCATGAGTAGTAACTTGGGCTGGATCATCTGGTAAAACTTTTATTATTCGAGAAGTCGAGCGAACTGGTTGTGTCGCCTAACCGTTTTGCATAATGATCGTGCTTGTTTGGTTCGTACATCAGAAGTCGGGCGTTTAAACCCTGGCGTGACAAACAATGTGCAGGGTATGAACTCTAATAATAACGAAAATCGAACGTTATTCTCCCTCACTTTTTTATATTCAATCGCTAGACTAGAAGAACCTTTTAAACACAATGATGTGGCCACAAATACCGCAACTATTCACAGACATTCACCTGTGAAGTGTCACTTTTCCTGGATGAGATAGAGAATATGGAGCCTGTCGTTGATCATTCAGCCATAAATCGATGGGACGTGGTCGAATTTGCCTGTTTCCACCTTAACAGTCCTTCTATCTTTCCGATTTTTAAAAAGATGCATCAATCCTGTCATTTCGGTGGACTGGATAGTAGGAACGCAGTTGTATTCACATAGATACACTTCAGTGAGCACAACCCTTTCGTATCATGTTTGCCAATGCGTGAATAACTATAGCCTCTTGACCTCAGTTTTGAAGGAAAAAGTCGGCTAGGTTAGTTAGTCCCTGCACTTTGAACAAATTTGATAGTCTTACGATCCCCATCGTTCTGAGGACTAATTATGTCTGAGTGCTCACCACACATGCCTATTATACAACCAAAGGTGGCATCAGCAAATTACGAGCGAATTCAGACTTAACACTTAATAGGGGTCCAGTTGCTTCCCCCCGAGCGATAAACATCCCAGATCTAGGAAAATTAATCCTTTTTGAGTCTAAAAATGCATTCTGAAGCAAGTCTATGTTAAATATATTTACTCTTAAACGAGTAGTGTTACTTGGCCTTCTCACTGAAAGATCAGATTCCAGATGAATTCGTCAAATGAATGTGCTGAGCACAGGCCGCCTTACTTTCCAGTTGAAATATCGCAGTATATTGTCTACACATAGCACACTACTCAAAGGTGCTGAAAACCCTTCGACGGCCCACAAAGAAAACCAGCACAAACGACAGACTCAGCTGAGTCTCCCTAAAAACCGAGTTAGTGCCCAGCTGAGAGTAGCTATCGAAGTGTGTCCTATTTGGGTTCAAGTACAACATACGGTTGACGGAAACTCGGTGACTGCGCCTACCTGATGAGCCCAAAGAAGAATGACGAGACCAGTCATGGGTTGTCAAAGAGTTCTCAGAAGGTTTGTGAGTAATGCGCTGTGCGCTAAGTATATTTTTTTGGCTCATCCGCTTTACTGCGCATCAATGACTTAGGATAGCCTCATGTGAGCGGTTTGTGGTATCATGACAACTAGGCTAGCGTCGGTCCGTTTATTCCCTCAGTACATCATTCCTGTTAGTACCAATCCATTTGTAGCGAGTACACGACTCAAATTATCGCTGGTTGTTTACTGCTCTGAGCCTCCGTAGCCCCTCTCATGTTAAATATTTTGGGAATCAGACAGTTTCAGTATTGACTGGCTGTTATAAATTCTCTTGTGGGGATATCTTATTGAAGTAACTTCGGCCTGAGCAAACCACATGGTATCGGCTTTGTGAGTTGACAGGTTTTGACAAAGGAGATGAAATCATTTTTAGTCTGTTACAAGATTGAGAGTTATTTGAAATGCCCACGATGATGCACACCACTGATGTCCCTCTCAAAAGATGCTCTCTCCTTAGATAGTGTTCCTCGTCAGTCAAGAGTTCGTTTTCATCGCTCCTAATAGAGGCTAACCCGGGGATAGATAAGCAATCCGCTCTACCGTGCCGGTCCCTTTTGAGAGGTAAATGCATTTCTTCCCCAAAGTAAAAGCATATACCACAAGGAACGTTTGGTCTTATCCATCAAAGGAGTGCTTCGTAGAAGACTTAATTTAACATCTTTATATTGTTTTTAAGCGGTATAGGGACTTCTTGAGTGTTTTC